AAGATATTTTTACCAGAGGAATTAATGTTATTGAAAATAAGTTAGTGGAAACTAAAGATGAAACAAAAGATACTATAGGAGCGCTTAGGTACTATTATATAGCTAGATATTTCTAACTTTTATTTTCAAATTAGTTTCTTTATGACATTCCTATATGGTTTATATTACTGTTTCATTTAGTTTTCTTCATTCCCTTCATTGTATATTAGTTAAAAGTCAAAATTTTAAATAATGTAACCTTATGTAATTTTCACATGTCTCTACTTATTTTAATCTACTAGATTATATAGTTATGAAATATTTGCTTTCACTTTGTCGTGTAAAGTTTTCAGTGGTACACAATTTGATTTCTCTAGATAGTGTCAAAAAACTATTACACAGTAGAATAAATTAAACACTTATATAAAAATATTTTATAGGAATATCATAAATAAATTGAAGTAATTTGGTCTAATGTACAAAGTTAATAACAGCAAAATCTTATTGAGTATTTCCGAGGTTTTAGAATGGACTTGGCAAATAATGCTGAACATTTGAATCAAGAATTAAATAATCTTGAAAAAGGACAATCTGTAATGGTTTCAATGGCTGATCATGTCTTAGATACTAAAAAAAGAGTTGAATATGGTGTACATCAAATTCTTTTAGAAGTAGGAGATTTAGTGAATGCACAAGGTATGAATATTAATAATACTCTTAATCAAAGGTTTGATGGTATATCAAATGACATTATGGATAATCAGAATGGAGCTTTGGCAAATTTAACTACTAAAATGGAACAAGAAATGAATCAGGTAACAGATCAAATATACATTTTTTCTTAAAAGCAATTTTTGAACATCTCTTATAATTATTTTCATAAAAGGTATGGCGACAAATAAATGTCATGTACCAACAAATGACAGAAAGTGCAAAAGCATTAGACAAATTACATAAGCAAAATGAAGAATATGTTAATGGTACAACTTCAACCATGGGTGGAATGGAAACTAAAGTAAAAATTCAACTGGAATGACATTGTATCAAATATATTATGTTAAATGTACATCATTTGTATATGTTTATTTTTATAGGTAAGCGAAATAACAAAACGCATGGCCGAAGTTGATAAGAACCTAAATTATCTATTGGGACGACTCTCATTAGTGACACAAGAATTTAATGAAATCAAAGCAGGATTAGGTAATGCGTTAGATAATATTAAGGCATCATTTAAGGAAGTTCAAGATAAAACAAATGATTTGAGACATCCAGGACCACATCCAATACCTGAAAGCTATAAAGAATTTAATGAATCTGATAATATTAAACCAGATGGTAAGCCTTCACCGGAAATTGTTAAACATATTTTTAATCCTCAAATTAATTGAATTTTATATGTTTAAAAATTAAATGTATAACTTTAAAGACTAGGCTATTCCAATGTCATATATACGTCAGTATCTCTGGTATATTTTATAAACATAATTAATTAACTTTGCATACTTTGTTGATTAACTTACTATTTTTTTATAGACAAATTTATAGTTAATAAACCAAATTCAATAATTTGGTTTTAATAAATGTTGCTTATGTAAAGTGTAAAGAACGTATTATTTAAACAAAATATTTGTTTTAGTTGTGAAAATAAAATAATACTATATCAATTTCATATCGAGGATGCTTTCGTCGTTAATGGCACATATCAAGTTATGTTCAAGATTACATTTTCTACATCACTAATATATTAACATTCATGACAATAATATATATCATCATCATATACTATACAAACTCTTTCAAGGTATATTATTTTAATTTTGTTTAACAATACAAACATGTATAATTTAAAAATATGGACATAAATGACTTGATCATTAAATATTATGATATCTGTATCACAAACTATCTTTAATATATTGGTTTAGAGTTGCTTTCTTTATATTTATGAAACATTTAATAGATAGCCATTAGATTAATCTTTTTGTAATAAATTTTAAGTGCAAGAATTAAGTTTTACAACATATATCAAAGTTATTCAAATTTAAGAAACTTGGATCAATATATTTTGATACTGTCATATTTTACAATTAATAAGTTGATTTTAATTAAAAATAAAAATATGAAATTGTATAGAA